CTTCCTGTTGAGCGAGCTTCTCCGGCTGAATGATCCACAAGTTCTTGGGCTCATCGCAAACGCGGGGACGCTGCTGTACCAGGCGACCGACGGCATGTCCGTGGATGGAGAGCCTTGCACACTGCCACAGCTCGAGGTAAAAGATGGAAAGCATCACAGAATGCTCAAAGCCAAGTTTTTGTGTTTGTGTTCTTCAGCTGCTGGAGGCAATCGCCATGGCAATCAAGTCACTGTGCGCTTGGAAAGTTTCTTCTCGAGGATTACTGATCCTGCTCAAGGTACGTGACGATTGCTTGAGAAATGGAGCAGTGCTGATGCATCATCCTTTGCAGGAACGCTTGCCAGCGGTTGTGAGGTGCCTGTCGCACGACAGTCCTCGCATCCGAGCGTCGAGCGCTTCATTGCTGCGAGAGATCGTTTCGACTGATGTCTTACGTGCGAGCTATCCGGGTGACAAAGCTGGCGCTTGGCTTGAGGACGTGGAGCAGTCCATTGCGTGGGAAACGCATTACAGGCGAGCGGAAGGACTGTCCGAGTCTTTCCTGGCGTCGGCAGCCATAGCTCTGGGATGTAAGCTCCCCCCAAGCTGAAAAACCGGGTTTTTTTTTACAATCTGTGCTAGTACTTGTGCTTGTTCGATCTATATAGTTGACTGGAATAAGCGAAACCACACTTTCAGATTTTATTTGACCATAGCTTTCTTACCTAAAGTTTCTCAGAGCTTTCATGAGCGATCACTTCTGTTTTTGAGGAGTTTGATGAACTCGCAGCCATTCGACTCCATTAGGTGCTCCTTTCTGTCCAATGCATCACGATAAGTATCACACTTGACGAGAGCGCTTGTTTACCTTGTCTTTAAACACGGCTGTTGCGTAGTAGCCTTTGCGATTCTCCCCTTAGGCACCGAAACATGACAATAGAACTTATGACAATGGTGTTTTGAGGAGAAGCATTTTACCTGAAGGCTGCTCCCAAGACTGCCATGTCGCGAGATACACTCCCGGGGCTAGCTCCTGTTCCTGAATACTGTCCACCCAAGTCCGGAGTTCTTTCCCTTGAAATGCTCCATGCTGTCCCCGAACAACGGCGAGGGACTGTAACAAATTTAATTCTTCTCCCCAGGGATACACCATTCTTGCATCTTCAGCCTGGACAGGAACAAAGCCGGTAAAAAAGAAGAAAAAGCTTTTGGACACTTACAATCACCGATGTCAATCTTTGAAAGGCCTCGTCAGTGTTCGGAATGTCACCTTTAACCCACTTGTCGAAGAAGATATAGAAATCGACAATTTCTCGCCTTGGAGACGCGGCTCCATTCGAGTTACCACCCGGCCTCTCTCGTGGAGGCAAGGCCGGTCCCATGTCGAAAAACTTGAGAGCTTCAATTATACCCCCGGCACATCTGTTGCTTGCGAAGTGGATGTGATCTTTCGAGGACTGAGAGCTGTACCATTTGACAAGCTCGTCGAATGCATTGCCAACCTGGTGAATGAGTAGACGTTACTGAAGGAAAGGAAAAAAAAAAAAGAAACACTATTTGTGCTTACTATGACTCCATTGACGCCCTTGACGGTGAAAAGCTCCACGTCGTTCCCAGAGTCTCCACAAACAAGGACTCGTTCTTTCGCCCATCCCTCCGAGTTAGCCTTCTTCATGAGATACGCCAGTGCCTCGCCCTTGCCTGCGCGTTGAGGAAGAACATCCAGGTCAATGCCCCCACTGTATATCAACTTCGCATCAAGCTGTTCATCACAACTGCAAGAATCAGAAAAACCATCAAACAAAACTAGCAAACAAAGACGACTAATTGTCCCAACACTCGCCTTCAGTTCTTTGAACTTCTTTGAAAATCGCCGGATGATCTCCTCGGCATCCTTTTTCTCGACCTTGAAGCTCACTTTGTGAGGACGTTGTTCCGAATCCTCCTGTCGACAGAGGCAAAAAAACAAAAAATTCTTTTTTTGGAAACACCAGAAAGCAAAGAACCTGAAAATGGAGCGTCGCAATTTTTTTGGCCTCCTCGACTATGATCTCTCGGTTCCATCCTTCGTCCAAATGCTCTTCCCAGCCATTGTCAGGAGTCATTGAAGGACCATACCGGATCTCAGTGCCAACGGAACAAATGATCGTGTCCGGCGTGAGGAGAGGAACCTGCCTCCGCAAATCCAAATACTTCTCGGGAGATCTCCCAGACGAAAACACGAGATGGCAATCCCGAGAGTACTCAGCTTCCCACAGAGACGCAAAATCCAGGAGAGAAGAATGAGTTTGATCCTTGTGATCCACCTGAGGCCAAATTTTTTCGAGAAATTCCAAGAGTATAACAGAAATGCAGGCTTACCATGGTGAAATCAAGGTCTGAGACAAGCATCACGCTGGGAGACGACACGGCGGCATTGGCATTCTTCCGCGCTGCAAGAGCCCTAATTCTGGGAAAACAAGGACCTCGGCGCCGGTCGATCCAGAGTGGAAACGAGGAGAATTCCTGCGGCGGCAGCCATAGAGAAGCTCCCAGCGCTGCCACGGCCATGGTGGAGGAAAGTGAGGAGCCCTAAATTTCGGACTCTAGACGACCGTTTAAAATTTGACTTTGATGGGTACTTTAGGGCATGGGAATCGAACCGATGATGCGGGCATGGCTGCTACTCCAGCGATAGCGATGAGCGTGGAATCGTGCCGAGCTCTTCCTCCCGGATGGATTCTCTCCCACCGCAGGCCTCTTGTTTCCAGGATTTCTTGCTCAGGTGAGCTCAGTCGCACGAGCATTGGCGCTTGCTTATTTCGGCGGTGATATTCCCCGGATTCCTGGAGCAGGATTGGGATCAAGGAGCGCAGTGTCGCGAGAATCACTGCAGCTGGCCAGGCGGCGCCTCGGCCTCTCCTCGCATTTGCTGGAATCAAGAACAGTGGCTCGCATCGTCGCTAGGGTCTTCGATCAATCGGCAGCAGGAGCGGCTGCCGCACCATTCGGCGACGAGAATCTGCAAGGTATGGCATCGATATTTCGATCAAAAGCTCTTGATCGATCACTCGTCCAGGGATCACTCTCTTTCACAAGTGCCGGGCGGTCCTTTTCTATTTGACAACGACGCTAGTGGCAATACCATTGTTCCTGGTGATGCTACTCCAGCATCCTCTGGTGCTTCTCCTCGACAGGCAGCGGAGGAAAGCACAGCATCTCATCAACAAGCTCTGGGCGTCGGCGAGCACATTTTTTTTCTACGAGGTGGAGATTGTTGGCAAAGAGCATCTACCGCATCCCAATGAGCCCGCCGTTTACATCTCAAATCACCAGAGCTTCCTTGACATCTTTGCCTTGTTCCAGCTCGGTCGACCCTTCAAGTTCATCAGCAAGACTAGCGTGTTCTTCATTCCAATCGTGGGGTGGGCGATGTACTTGACGGGTCACATACCTTTGCATCGCTTGGATGCCAAGAGTCAGCTGGTTTGTTGTTTTGATTTTCTTTTCTTTCGTTTCATCGTCTCGTATCTTCTCCAGGAATGTCTTCGGCGTTGCATTGAGTTGCTCAAGCGAGGAGTTTCGGTGTTCTTTTTTCCAGAGGGAACAAGGAGTACCGATGGGACACTAGCTGCATTCAAGGTGGGGTGTTTCCAACTTTTTGTCAATGCCATACCATGTTTTTTTTTTGGTGGTTTGCAGAAAGGAGCATTCTCGTGTGCTGCTAAAGCTAAAGTTCCGGTAGTTCCCATTGCTCTTGTAGGTACTGGACATCTTATGCCCAACGGCAAAGAGAACGTTTTGAGAACAGGGAAAGTGAAGATCGTCATACATCCGCGCGTTCAAGGAGGCACTGCCGACGAACTCTGCGACCAGGCACAAAAGTATATTGTGAGCTCTGTCGCTATTAGTCCTGTGAAGCGACCTTTCAACAGCAGCATCGAAGAACTATGATTTTCCAGGAGTGAAAGGCGCGAGTTTGCAGTGTTACCAGCAGCAGCAACATCGCGAGACTGGGATTTAAATGACAACATCGAGAGAAAGGTGAGCTCTTTCATGCAATTTTTGCTCTGACTAGCTCGATTTCTTTCCATAGGCAACTTCCGGGAATCTATTCCTGCAAAGTTACACGCGTCGAATCTCTATGTATCTTTGATTTTTAATGAGGTGAATGATAGAGCGCCACTTGTTGCTTGGAAATCTCTTACATGTAGGTACAAAATGCTCCGCTTTGTCTAGGGCTTTATCACAATGGCGCAGAGTGGTAGCAGCATCTACGATCTCACCGTGCAGGCAAGTGTTTCTTTTTTCTATCTACCTCGATCATTTTTTATCCTCTAACAGGACATCGACGGCAAGGATGTTCCTCTCAGCCAGTACAAAGGCAAGGTTATGCTCATCGTCAATGTGGCGTCTCAGTGGTATGTTCACCGTCTCTTGTGATTTTCATTCCCGTGAAATTCATTCCTCTCTTCTTGTGGCAGTGGATACACAAATGACGCTTACAAGGAGATGAATGAGCTCTATGCCAAGTACAAGGATAGCGGTGAGTGGTATCCTGTTTTGTTGCTGAAGTTACAATCTTCTTTGGCAGGCTTCGAGATCCTGGCATTTCCTTGCAACCAATTCGGCAACCAAGAGCCTGGCTCAAACGAAGAGATCAAGGAACGAGCTTGCACTCGTTTCAAAGCTGAGTTTCCCATCTTTCAGAAAGTAAGTTTGGTACCTTTTTTTGTGTTTTCTGCATCAACTGGTTTGTGCTTTCAGGTGGATGTTAATGGAAGCCACACCGCACCGCTTTTCAAGCTGCTTAAAACTGAAAAGGGGGGATTTCTGGTTGATGCTGTCAAGTGGAACTTCACGAAGTTCCTGGTGAATAGAAAGGGCGAGGTCGTGGAGCGTGAGGGTCCATCAACAAGCCCTCTGAAAATGGAGGTACGTGGAAGTTAAAAGCATAGTTCTGTTGGGTCTCACAAGATCATCATCTTATTGTCCGCAGAAGCACATCAAGAAATGGCTAGACGCTCCTGCAGCTTGAGAATTAGTGAAAGCCTTTGTTTCTATTTCCTACTATCATGAATAAAACTAAACTTGTATCTGTACATAGCCGGTCTTATACAAGATCCGCAAGAAACGCTTCATTGAGGTCAGTTTTCTTGTTTTCCTTTCTGCTTCTAATCCCGTTGAGTCTGTCCACTACAATCTGCATTGTAGGACGAAGGCTTGGAGACTTCTCTGCACAGGCTAGAGCGATTTCCAGCACTAACTTGTAGCACTGTTCCTCCGCTCCCATCTCAAGCGCGAGTTCCTCCACTGGCATCAACTTCACCCATTCAACCAGGTCCAGATCGTTAGTAGCGTCTCTCCATGTCGCCATCTTTCCCGTCAGCACTTCCAACACTACAATGCCGAAGCTGTACACGTCCGCTCTCTCGTCGACTTTCAGAGTGTAAGCATATTCTGCATTCACAAAACCATTGTTTTTTTGTATCACTTTTTTCTTTCTTCTAGCTTCGTACCTGGAGCAATGTAGCCGTGTGTTCCAGCTAACTTGGAAGCAGTGCTCGGTTTATTTTCCCTCAATAGCTTGGCCAGGCCGAAGTCCCCCAGCCGAGGCTTCATCTCTGCATCCAACAGAATGTTATCACACTTGACATCTCGGTGCACGACTTTGGGCCCGTAGTCGTGATGCAAGTACGCAAGCCCTTCGGCTATGCCAGTTATGATTTCAACCCGTTTGTCCCATCCAAGGCTGAAGCTCCTCGCCATCTTTCCGTGGAGAAGATCTCTCAGGTTTCCCAGTGGCATAAATTCGTACACCAGGAGATGACTTCTTTTGTTTGTGCAGGAGGCGAGGAACTTGACGACGTTCCTGTGCCGGATATTTCCGAGCGTTGCGACCTCCGCTTCAAATTCAGCTACATGGCTGTGATCTTCGCTCTGGACCTCCTTCACTGCAACCCGTATGCCACCTTTGAGCACTCCTTTGTACACGTTGTTTCGTCCTCTGCAGATGAGATTGTCCTTGCTTTCGACGCACTCAAGGACGTCTGCCAGAGAAATCGACTTAACTTGGTACGAGGTAAGTGTCCACTCTTCTTCTGGTTTGCTCAAGCTTTTGTGTCGTTTAGGAGGATGGATCCAGCACCAGAAAAAGGAAACCAGCGCCAGTGCTGAAAGTGCTACGATTGTTATGACGAGCATCCGTCTCGAAACCCGATCTTGCGGCTTCTGCTTCTCCGTGTTGCATGGACCAGGCCAGCACAGCATGGTATTTCTTTCGAGGTTGGCATCGATCTTCTTGCAAAAGGCCGGGACGCTTCCAGACAGATCATTATATGAGAGGTCGAGTTTCAAGAGGTTCGGGGACTGTCCGATTGCCAGCGGTATTTCACCGTGGAGCCCGTTGTGCGAAACATCTAAGGTGCTGAGCTTTTCCATCATTCTTAAGAGCAACCTTCCCTGGAAGCTGTTCCTACTCAGGTTCAACGTGATCAAGCTGCCGCAACCCGAGATCAAAGCTGGAACGTCCCCGACGAAATTGTTGCTACTGAGATCGAGATCCGTGAGATTTTGAAGCTGTCCAAGCTGTAGAGGAAGAGTTCCAGACAGACGATTGCTAGCCAAGTTGATTTTGACCAAGCTTCGTGAAGTTTCGAGCACCGCCGGCAACTCACCTGTGAGGCGATTGAAAGACAGGTCCAAGATAGTCAGCATCGGCATGTCTCGCATGGAGAGGTTCCCGTTGAAACGATTACGAGCAAGGGTGATGGTGTTGACATTCGACTGGGAAAAGTGCACGCTGCCTGTGAGGAAGTTGTCGTCAAGACGGAGCCTGTCCAAGTTCCGACACTGCTGGAGTTGCACTGGCAGATCTCCCGAGAACTGATTGTTTAGTGCGGCAAGGTACTCCAAGCTTCCATTCTGACAGAGAGCTGGCGGAAGTTTTCCAGTGAAATGATTCTGGGATAGATCGACGCTCCGGAGTGCTGATCTGCTTCCAAAGTCTGGAGGGAGGTCTCCAGTGAGGGAGTTGCTATTCAAGGTGATAGACGAGACATTGTCGTGCTCCGCGAGCCACCGAGGAAACTCACCTGTCAGTTTGTTGCTGGCTAGATGGAAGCTGGAAAGTGCCTTCATTCCTCCGAGCTCTTCGGGGATCACTCCTTCGAGTCTGTTGTACGCTACGTCGAAGCTTTCCAACAGGGACAGATTTCCGAGCTGCGGTGGAATGCGTCCGGCCAGGTTGTTGGTATGGATAAGCAACCTTTCAAGGCTTGACATCATTCCGAGCTCAGGTGGAATGGCTCCGGACAAGTTGTTCTCGGACACGTCCAAGATCTGCAACTTTGTCAGGTGTTGGAAGGATGGTGGGATCGAGCCACTCAAGTTGTTCTTCATGAAACCGATCACCTTCAGTTCCGTGAGAGCACCGAGACAGTGGGGTATCTCTCCTTCGAACTTATTAATGGCGAGCAAAATGACCTGCAAGTCGCGAAGCTGGCAAACACCCGAAGGTATCTCTCCGGTGAGATTGTTGTTATGCAAATCGAGATGCCGGATTAGAGTTGAGCTTCCAAGGCTGGCGGGAATGGTGCCGGAGAAGTAATTTTCAGCGAGAGAAACATTCTCCAGACGATCGAGCTTGCTAAACAGGTCTCGAGGAATTTCTCCCTGGAGGAGGTTGCTTTCGAAAGACAAATTCGTCAGGGATCGAAGACTCACTATGTCGGGTGCAAGGACGCCTCCAAGATTACTGTCAGGAAGCTCGAGCTTTACCACGGAAGAGTTAGTAGTGTCACAGGACACTCCTTTCCACGAGCAGATGGCAGACGCAGTTCCTGTCCAATCCTGGAGCTTTCCTGCGGAATCCACAAATGAGTTTTTGAGAGCGACTAGTGCCTGATGATCACGATCGAGATCAGCCTTGGAGATTACTACCAGGAGCAGGAAATAGATCACACAAGGTACCATCTCTCTTTTCCTTTTTAGTTTGTGTTGCTCTCTAACTATATGAGCCTCGAGCTCTTTCTTTTTTGCTGCAGAGTGTGCTGGAGAGCGTATGTCCAATTTAAAGCTTCACTCAGGTCAAAGCATATTGGATCCTCCATGATGGCAAATTTCTGTTTTATGCACAAGCATTGGACGTGAGTGCATGAATATATCTTCTTTTGGCCGCAATAGCACCAGTCTTACAACAATAATGGACAGAATCGAAATTACTAAGGTGTCCACTCAGTGTAAGGAAATTTGCTTTCTAGTCTTCAGTCGTCATCTTCTTGAGTTTTGGTTTTTACAGAGTCACTTGAACTGACTCTGTAAAGTTACAAAGTTACAGGCCAGGGGCACTAAGGAAAGGAATACGACGGTATTGCCACAGTTTTCGAATTCCTCCCATCTTGACAGTCTTCGATGCCAGCTTCAAGTTTTTCAGCAGTTCCTTCGCTTCCATCCAGCTTATCCTTCTCTAAACCTGTAAGTTTTCCTTTCCTCCTCACGACACTGAGCCTTTCTACGACCATTTCCATCGTAGGCCTCCGGCTCGGACACTTCTCTACGCAGCTTAGAGCTATCTCCAGCACCAATGCATAGCTCTCCGTGTCAGCTTCTACTGCAAGCTCCGTCACTGATTTTCCCTTGGCCCATTCCACCAGGTCCAGATCGTTCCTGTCATCTCTCCATGTGGCCATTTTTCCCGTCACCACTTCCAACATCACGATCCCAAAACTGTACACGTCCGCCTTCTCGTCGACTTTCAGGGTGTAAGCATACTCTACAATCACAACCAGGTTTTAACACGTTAACTTTTCATGTTAGATTCGTACCTGGAGCAATGTAGCCGTGACTTCCAGCGAACTTGGAAGCAGTGCAAGGTTTATTGCAATTCAATAGCTTGGCTAGGCCGAAATCTGCCAGTCGGGGCTGCATGTCCGCATCCAAGAGGATGTTCTCACACTTGACGTCTCGGTGGACGACTTTGGGGCCGTAGTCGTGGTGCAAGTACGCAAGTCCATCGGCTATGCCGCAGATGATATCAATCCGCTTGTCCCACCCAAGGCTGACGCTCTTCGCCATCTTACCATGAAGGAGTCCCCTCAGGTTTCCCATTGGCATATATTCATATACCAAGAGATAAGTTTCTCCGTCTGTGCAGGAAGCAAGCAGCTTGACAACGTTTCTGTGCCGCATCGCTCCCAGTGTCGCAACCTCAGCGTCAAACTCCCATCGGCTATCATCTGTTGCCTGGAGCTTCTTCACAGCAACTCGAATGCCATGGTCCTTCAGCATCCCTACATAAACACTGCTTCTTCGGCCAGATACGAGTTTGTCACCCTTCTCCACACACTCCAAGACGTCTTCCACGGACCCTTTCTTGGTATGGTACCAAGTTATCTCCCACTTCTTTTTTTCAAGCTCCCGGTTTTTGTATGGCGGGCAGCAGAATGACAGGCAGCTCCCAACGATCAGAATAAACGCGACCGTGGAGATCGTTGCTACTGCGATATACAGGGCCCTGGTGTGAAGTACTTGCCGCTCCGCGTCTTTTTCCCCGAGTTTGCACTGCTCTGGCCAACAGAGCATGGGATTCCCTGTGATGTTGGTCACCATCCTCTTGCAAAAGGCCGGCACCTCTCCGGACAGATTGTTGAACGAGAGATCAAGTTTCTCAAGAGCAGGAGATCGTCCAATGGCCAGAGGTATTCCACCGTGAAGCTGGTTGTGCGAGAGATCCAGTGCGTTAAGCTTGTCCATCCTTTCAAGAGCAATCGTCCCACTGAGGCTGTTCTTGCTGAGATTGAGCGTGACCAGGTTGCTGCAGCTGGAAACCGACAGGGGTATCCCTCCTTCGAGATTGTTGTCACTGAGATCAAGGACTTCGAGCTGCTTCAACTTGAAGCCGAGGTTGCGAGGAATGCTTCCGGAAAAACGATTTCCGGCCAACTGAAGCTTCTGCAAACCCGTGAGCGAGCTCAGCTTCTCTGGTAAGTCGCCTTTCATTCGATTCGAGCGTAGATCCAGCGTTTGCAGTGCTGACATGTTACTCCTCGCTTCTATAAACAGGCCGCCATCCAGATTATTCTCGCGGATTATCGCTACGGTGAGAGCCGGCGCGTCGAAGTTGATGTCACCCGTGAGGTTGTTGTTCTCCAACCTTAGCCTTTTCAACGTTTGACACTGGAGTAATCCTCGTGGAATCGGCCCCGACAGCTCGTTTTCAATAAGAACCAGGTAAACCAACTCGTTGTGCATGCACAAGTTTGGTGGAATCTCACCCGTGAACTTGTTGGTTCCCAGATCCATACCTTGCAGCTTGCTGTTAACTCCGAGATTCGGCGGGATGGGACCGTGGAATTGATTCACCGTCAGGCCGATATCCACAAGATAAGGATGCTCCGCGATCCATGGAGGGAATTCTCCAGTGAAGCTGTTTATAGACACGTGGAACTCCCTCAGGTTTCGCAAGTTGGACAGTTCCCGTGGAAGCTCCCCTCCGAGGCTGTTGTTGGCAACATCGAAGCATTCAAGCATGGTGAGGTTTCCCAAGTGCGGTGGAACTCTTCCGGAGAGCTGGTTTTGCCACAAGTAGAGGTTCCGGAGATTTTGGAGGCTACCCAGCGACGGTGGAATGGGCCCAGTGAGCGTGTTGGCGGCAAGGTCGAGCTCTTGTAGAGCTTCCATTCTTGAGAGGGAGTCCGGGATTGGGCCTGTGAGGAAGTTCTTCGCGAGCAGCAGCTTCTCCATCCTGGTGAAATTTCCATAGCAGCCTGGAATGGAGCCGTGAAGATTGGCGCTGTCGAGCTCTAGAACTCGCAAGCTATGGAGGCGACAGAGCTGCTCGGGGATGGATGCTGGGGCGAGGGGGTTGCCTCCAAGATGGAGCTCTTCCAGGAGGGTGTGGTTGGCGATTTGTGGTGGAATCCAGCCTTGCAGATTGTTGTTCTCGAGATTGAGAAGCGTCAGGTTCTCGAGCCTGCCGAGGAGATGCAAGGTGTCGAGCCGGCCTCCGAGACCCATGGACGAGAGATTCAATCCCACCACCGCGAGCTCTCTCTCGTCGCAAGTCACGCCTCGCCACGAGCAAATGGAGCTTCGGTTCGTCCATCCCTTGAGCTGCTCGAGAGGATCCTGTAGCGAAGCTTTTGTAAGCAAGAGGACGTGCTGGTCATCCAGGAGCGATGCCTCGGAAGGGTTGGGAATTGAAACAAGGAAGAAGGATACAACGAAAGTCACCACCACCAGCGTCGAGCAGACCATTGCCGTCGTTCCAAGTGAATGCGATGAGTTAAAGTCACAATCACCACCTTTCGTTTTTATCATCTCCATCTTGCCGTCTCGTATACAACACGCTTACACGATCATAGCTTTCGGACCTTGACCCAGACCGTAACATAGGCTAGGCAAAATGTCAGGATCTCCATCATTTCAAGAAAAAAGGAAAATTTTTTTTCACTTCACTTACCCAAACCTTTATTTACAGTAGTGATAATTATTAACATCGCAAAGTTCTAGTATTTACAAGTACGTGAGGCGCCACTTCTGGTTCTCCCGCTTCAGCCATTTGAAGAGGATGAGCTCCGTGCCGTCGTGAACGCCACCGTGCTTCTCATCGCCGTGGCTCGCGTCTAGATTCAGATGGATGTTTCCAACAGGGCGCAGGCATCTGTATCCCTTTCCAACGTCGGCGCTGAGCGTCCACAGCACCGATTCGTCCGGGCGGTCGCCGTGAAGGGACACTACTCGCACCTGTGGAAACAAAAGTATTATAACTCATGAAAGATCTAGCTTTCCTCCTCTTTCATTTACCTTATCAAATTCTTTTTCTCCATGCTGCAGTGCCTTCTGTGTGGCCTTGTTGATCAACACGAACGCAGGCGAGCCTGACTCGTCTTTCATGTTTGCAGCCAGCTTGTTGTCCTGGAACCATTCCTGAAACGGCGACAAGCTATATGATACCACCGACGCATTGACTGTGTGCTTTATACCTGTCTTGGATCAGATTCCTCACTAGCGGCGAGAACCACAGAGTCACCGCGAACAGTAACGTAATAGTCTGGTCTCGCTTCGCAGGAAAGCTTTACAGTTTGTTGTCCTGAAAGGCCGGCGCCATGAGAGAGCTTTCACAGTTTAGGTAAAAAATCACTTACCGTAAGACTGGCCTTGTCCACCACCATAGGCAGCACTTGTACCATAAGACTGCGCCTCAGCACCATAAGCACCAGTAGAAGCTACAATGGGTAGCAGAAGAGTTAGTGTCACAGAAGTGTAGTTTATCACAGCCAAACAAGAAAAAGAATGTAACTTACTTATCGGTAGGATCTTCCACTTCTGATTTTCCTGCTTGTTCCACTTGTGCAAGATCACGGTCGTTCCATCCTTAACACCTCCGTGCTCTTTGTCGCCACGATAAGCGTCCAAGTTGAGGTGGACGTCTGTAAATGGACGGATGCACTGGTAGCCATGCCCGACATCCGCGCTTTGGCTCCACAGGAAAGACTCGCTTGTGTCATTGGCGTCATATGGTTTTAGATACACCTGCAAGCAAAAGAACACACGAGCACGACCAAAACTTTAGAAAAAACGCTCACGAGCAGACAATCTTACTTTATCTTTCTTGTCGTCGTGATAAAGTGCCAAGCCGCTCGCTTTGTTAATGACTGAGAAGCCAGGGAAGCCCTCCTTGTCCTTCTTGGAGCTGTGCCTTGTGTCCTTGTACCATTGCTATTAAATCACCAAGAACAAGCTCTCAAGTTTAAGCGATGCGAGACACGAAATTAAAAAGTTTTGGACAAACGAAGTACCTGATGAGGATTGGATTCGTTTCCAGGTGCTAGCACGAGCTCTCCACCACGATCAGTGAGATAGTAGCTGGGATTTGCCTCGCAGACAATCTTAAAAACCTCTTCGTGTGCGCTGCCACCACCGCCGCCTGGTCTGCTGTGATAGCCACTCTGCTGCTGCTGCTCACCATAGCCACCACCTACATTCTCCTGATCGAAGCGATGGGGCTGCTCGTGGTGGTGCTCGTGCCCCGGCTTCTTGTCGTGGTGGAAGAAGCCCCTTGGCTCGGACTCGTCCATCCGTCCTCCGCCATAGCTCGAATATTCGGGTCCACTTCCGTACGGCGCCGCCGTCGTGTCCGGAGCTCCTCCATATCCTCCATACTCTGCCATATTTCCGGGCCGCCTTGATCTGATCGATCGAATCCTGCAAACAATGGAACACATGCACCGGATCAGACGATCGCAGCCAAACAAGGAGCAGCGCGTGATGCCGGAATCCATGAATCTTGGCCGGGATTGCGAGAGGGGGATGGAGGAGGAGGCGGGAACACGATGGCGCTGGCTGGGGTTTCACACATTGGATCGTCCATGGCGTAGAGTCGCAAAATGCCAGAGAAGAACTGCGATCCAAGCATGGAATCCCGGCCGATCCACACTGGAGGGAAATAAAACATATCGAGAGATTCACCTGGTGCTAACGCTCAATCCCCTTTGCTCGCCTTTACAGTTCTTCGCGCTTCGTACGTCTGCCTAGCGATCGTCAGGCTGCTTTTATATAGAAGTAGCAAAGGATATGCTCTCAGGGGAAGCTTATATCCTCTCACAGCTGGAGCCATGGCTTGACGACACGTGTCTAGTATCTGCCACGTGCCACACGTCAATCAAGATATTGTGGATAGAACGCATGGGCCTTAAACGCGTCTTTGTCAAACACGGAGATATCGTGGCTCTGCGCTATAACTTTATGCGGCAAACTGTCGGTGATAAAATAATAGGAAATATTGCTGTGGTTCGTCCATTGAGTGTGTAAGGTAGGTTAGGTCTTATAAGTGGAACCTTATGGCAGTAAACACATCATTGATGAATTAGCTTTTGAAATTTTCAATTGAGAGGGACAGACCTTTAGTGAGAAATGTTCTGGCAAATTAGTGATGTTATGCCTTGGCTGGTGGCACAATTGCAAGAGATGGACGGACAAGCTCGGCATCCACTTGGAGGTCCTACTCCAACAGCCATGTAAAACACTATCATGTCTATGTTTCAAGATTTCATGATGGGCACATAAACAACATATAATAATACATGTCTTTCGGATAGCGCCCATCAGACCAAAGGGGTAGAACTACCTAGATAAAATAGGTAATTATCATTGGCATGGACTTGGTTTTGCCTGGAAAGGCTGGCTAGGACATAAACCCTTCACAAGTCGTCGCCCCCACCGAAGTTATATCACACAGCCCAGAATATCTATCTATCTAAATAATAAGACAAAATGATATTAAAATGTTAATTAATATGTACATCTTCAATTTAAGATAACATTCATTAGTTTGGCACATAAATAAATGATGTAAAGCTAGTTTATTCTATATATCTATTTATCTATTTATATCATTCTGTATTGGCAGTCTCACGGTGCCCAACAAAAAGAATGAGACTGCGAAAATAAACTTGCAATTCTGCGATAATTTGAACCTTTGTAATTCGCTTCGTATGTGTCAATAGTGCTTTGTCAATGAGACCTTTATGAGGCAAATTGTCGGTGATGGACTACGGTAAACTATTTCTTTGGTTAGCTTCTCAAGATCTAGATTCCAGAACCGCATAAAGTAAAACTTACATGGTTTCCAGGATCTATAAGTAGTGCTTTGTCAATGAGACCTTTACGAGGCAAATTGTCGGTGATGGACTACGGTAAACTATTTCTTTGGTTAGCTTCTCAAGATCTAGATTCCAGAACCGCATAAAGTAAAACTTACATGGTTTCCAGGATCTATAAGCAGTGCTGATTGATGGACTAGCTTTTGACAATACAGACACACATAGAAAATTCTCACTTTTCTTCTCTCACTCAGTGAACTTCCAGTGCTGGTTTTCCTGGTCGCTCCACTTGAACACCACGACTTTAGTCCCATCGCTCGGCCCACCATGTTTCTTATCGGCACGGAAAGCATCCATGGTGAGCTTCACGTTATTGGCGGGTCGCACAGCAAACCATCCGTGCCCAACTTCCTGCTTCGTCCAGAGTATGTCCTGGTTGAGGAGATTGGGGACAAACTTTGCGAGAGAAACCTGAGGAGCAAAAACAAAACGCTGAGCTAGAAGAAGGATTAAACTTCTCGTGCGATTACCTGCTGGCCTTCGCCGGGAGCATGAGAAAGAGCGTGCTGCGTAGCCACATTGAGCATCACAAAAGCAGGCTGGCCAAGGGAGTCCAAGAGCTTGCTGCCCCACCAGTCATCCTTGATCCATTGCTACAAAGTTTCCAAAAGTTCCCTTAGAATCTGATGAAACAAAGAACTTTCTTTTCTGTAGAACATACCTGGCGGCCATCCGATGGATCGCTAGGCGCAAGGACCACGCCGTCTCCACGCGCACTCACGCTGTAACCTTCTCCGGCCTTGGTGACGAGGCTATACTTCGGCAGGTGATGCAAGGAGCGATCAACCACACGGCTCTCGGTCCTCAAAACACGGTGGAAATGATCGGCTCCGCCCGTGCTATCACCTGTTCATTCTTCCTTCAGCGAAGATCCAAAAGAAAACCATCGAAAAACTTACGCGTAGGAACTAGCTTCCAGCATTGGTTATCGTACTCCTTCCACTTAGTGATCAAGACGTCAGTCCCATCGGTAAGACCACCGTGCTTCTTATCCCAGTGATTCGTGGATAAGTTGAGAGAAGTATCATAGTATGGTCGCAAAGCGTTCCAGCCCCCACACACATCTTGGCTAAGTGTCCACAGAGTAGACTTATCCTCGGAATCCCCAAAGTAGTCGGACATGGTCACCTATGCATCGATCGATCGATCAAACAGACAAAGAACTTAGAAATTAGTTTTTCCCAAAGGATAGATCCAAAGTACCTGGGTATCTAGGCCGCCCGGATGCGTGAGGGCTTGGCCAGTAGCCCGATTGATCAATGCAAAGCTCGCGGAGCCCTTGGCATCCTTGACGTGCTCCCACGATTCGTCCTTGTACCATTGCTGGAGCGATGGATTGATCGAGATGGGGAAAAAAGTAAGCATCGATCAACATCGCGGGCGGTCGAAAGGAAATATCAAGGCAGAGCATACCTGGCGAGGATCGGATTCATCGGCCGGGGCCATCACCACGCCATCGGTCCGGGCGGCAAGATTGTAGGCGCTATCGGCCTTGCACTGGATCTTCACAAACTGACCCTGCGGCATCGTCACTCGCTACCTCGATCGATCGATCGATCAGAGAACTCGAAGAGAAACTAGGCACGAAAAAAGAAACGCTGCTCCTGTTCCTCACGGATTGACTAATAATCGCAGATTTATGGAGAATTTTTACTGGGGAGGACGGAAAGTTACCTCGCTCCTTGGTCCGCCACCAACGCCTAGAAATTATTCAAACGAGGGAATCGAGCCGGGGACCTCGGTCACGGCGCGTTTGAAATCGACACGTAGATGAGACTTAACACGTGTCATGCGGACAGCGAGTAAGCTGTCCCTTCCAGGAGTAACAGGTGTACCATTTTGAAAATTGGCGAATCTATCTAGGTAGGGGCGTGTCCATGCCACGTGTTACATTTCCACCGAGACCCGTTATCTCTATCCGAGCGTTCACATATTCGCATTTTAATCGCACCATGGTTTGCGAACACAAGGCTCGCCTATGTGAATTTTAATGGCACCAAGGTTTACAAACACAACAGAAGCATCTTTTTTTTTTTAACTTTTTACGTAGTTACAATGTAAGTTCTTGGAAGAACATGAACACACAGACTAACACAAGATAGAGGCCCATCCAATCCCTCAAACTGGGACAATCTTCCAAAACTGGTTGTCGTGAGTCTTCTGCCACTTGAAGAGGATGAGCTTGTTCCCTTCCTTGATCCCGCCGTGCTTTTTATCACCGTGATCGGCATCGAGGTTGAGGTCGATGTTGTTGTAAGTCCTCACGGTGTGGAAGCCGTGGCCGAGATCATCGCTGGCGCTCCACAGGAGATCATCGTCCATCTCGTTCTTGGAGTAAGCGGATAGAACCACCTGAGTGGAACAAAGATTTAGAGACCCCACATCGATCGATCGAATCAGAAACTTGCCTGCTCGTTCTCGGAATTGCCATGACGAAGCGCTTGACCAGTGGCCTTGTTGATGAGTGCGAAGGCCTTGGATCCCGACGAATCGGTCAGGCGCTCGCCCCAGGAATCGTCCTTGATCCATTGCTGCACAAAGCCCCAAAATCTAGTGAGAACATCTCGGGATTTCGAGAACAGACCTGGCGCGGGTCCTGGACATTGCCCTGGGAGAGGACAACGCCATCGTCGGTGGCGGTCAGATAGAAATCGGGGCGAGCCTTGCAAAAGACGCGAACAACCTGGCCCTGGACTGGCGGATGCCCGTGAGCGTGCTGCTCATAGGATCCATATCCCTGCTGGTACGACATGATCGATCGAGAGAGAGCTGGAGCAAAACTTTAAACAAAATCTCTAGACAATGCAAGCAAACGCACTGGAAAATTTGGCAACAGAGCAGGGTTTTATAGTGAGTCCCAAACCCATCTGGGCCGTTCAGCCTCATCGGACGGTCAGGGTTTGTTAGGGTTCTTGCGGGGGGAAAATGTAGGGCTCTTGGATTATGGATCGAGGATTGAGCGTTCTGCTCCTCGTCTCGGCATTCACAGTAATCGCGATCGCCGGCGTCCACAAGATGCAGCAGCAGGAGCGCGAAGATTTGCGCGCTGGCGCTATCAAGGATCAGGAGAGATACGCCGCACGGCAGCTTCAAATGGAGCGGGATAGGGTCCGGTAGTCGATCGATGGCGTGGAAGCCGTCAATGCTGCGCTTCCAGATCACTAGCTCACTAGGTGAATTTGGCGATTCATTGATTTAATCCTTGGAATAAAATCTTGGTTCCAGAAGCTTCAAGAACATTGCCTAGGGTTTTTGGTCTTCTCGGATGGATTCTGGGAGGAAGGCCAGGAGAGCGCTGGAAGAGTATGAGATTGATGCGCTGGTGGATGATTCTTACGACAGGCGCAAGAAACGGCACTGCGATTCAGGCAGCGAGATTGTGCGCTACTGCGGCCGGGAGAGCTGCGTGAGAATCTTTGGCGTCGTCTTCCCCAGGCACAGCTACCCGATCGACGCCTTCAGCTTTAAGCAGCTCGATTCTTGCCGCTGGTGCCTGGACATGGCAATCTTCGTCGGTGAGTTCCCGATCAATGCGTAGTTCTTTGGATTTCTATCAGGTCCCTGCTCTAGATTTTTCGTGACTTCTCTTGATTAGCAAAATTTCCTTTTGTGCTTGTTCTAACGGCTTTCCAACAGGAACATCGTACGAACAAGTCACGGAGATGTGCATCTTTCTCTTCAACCAGTTCGTTCTTCCACCGGAGAAAGCACTGGCCGTGTACGTGCAATCCCCAGGCTCGGCATTCCAGTACTGCGGTGGAATAAGCAACGTTTGCCCCTCGGCGATGATCACTCTCCTCTGGCCCAAGCACGGCGGGAAGAAGCAATTGACGGCCCTGGACGCTCCGCCGCTCAATGCCTCCATTGGTGTTTCGCTCGAGGATTTGTCGACGCTTCCAGCTCTCAACATTCGGCAGTACTACCACGTCGAGAAGGTTGCTCTCAAGATCGGTGAGAACTTTTTCCATTTCATGCAATCGTGTTCTAAGGCTGCCCAGGACGGGAGGATTATCGTGCCACTTAACTTGCTCGATCAGTGGTTTGTTAGATTCAAGGACAAGGCTAGCAAGGATCCAGATTATCTTAAGCAGTTTCAGGTGTAACGACAATGTTACTCGTCACCATCACGCGAAGGTGATGGTGCTGTTTACAATGGAATATCATACGCACAGCTTTGCTGAGGTTGTGCTGTTTATTCTTCCAGGACAGATTGTTAGCTTCATACCAAGCACGATGACACGCGATGTTTAAGACTGGAAGAAGCTTACAATCGTTGCGTGAGAAAACTTCTCGAGGCAGTGTGACAATGTTCTTCTTTCTGGCGCTAGTTGGTCTTGTTTCGAGGTATTGTAGCTGGCAGTTTTCTTCGCGTAATTCCGTTGTGCAGATGCGCTGCCCAAGATTGCGAGCCGAGTTTTCGGAGTTATCAACTTCGAACCAAGGCTTCATCAGCGTATTGTTTGACGGCGCTGAATGAAACCGTGAGAATGAACCTCTGCGACTCAACTTGTCGCAACCAGGTAAGTAAGACGTTTCTTTCTCTGGCTCAGTTTTTTCTTTTTCTTCTTTTTCTCATGCGGGGGACTTACACAGATTTGGTTCTTGAACTCTACTTACAATTTCGTAGACGCGGCAGGCAGCAAGGCCTTCGTCCTCACAAACGCCGGTTCCGGGCGAGTTCTTCGCCACAGAGCTAACGACGACGAACAAGTAAGAAATAACTTCATCTGCTCATTAGCAATTCTCCAACTTCTAAACTCTCAATCCAGGTCGTTCTCATTGTCTACTGTGAGCTCAGTAGCTCAATCCTATGGACGCTGAGCCCCGAGAGCTACGATAAGTACTTCGCGATTCGTCCATTCGAGAACACTCAACTGAACTTGGACGTGGATCACGGTGATCGCAAACACGGCGGCGTCCAGCCAAACAACAGGCTTATGCTTTTCTCGTGGCACACTGGCGATAACCAGCTGTGGGAGTTCATCGAGGCCTGAAAAACACAAAAGAGTTATTCTATCATTTGGAGCAGCCCAAGGTTTTATAAAAAGACTAAGCTACGCACCTTTTGTCTGTGCAGTGTATATGAAATATAGGGCATACGATGATGTTGATGTGACATCACGTAGCGTCCCTCACACGCACACGTGGCGCCCTCGGACGCGTGCGTTTTGCATGTTGGATTTACATTCTTTTCGCTTTGGCAAAGAACATGGTGGCGATCATATCAAGCCAAGTAGCGACACCTAGCCACAAGTCAAAAAGGTTGGCACAAGCTATGAAAAGAAAAGGTGGCGGACGGAAGTTTTTGGAGAGGTGGGGATGTGAAAGAAAATTTGGGTATAAAAGATGCCGAGGAGCATTATCAAAACGCTCTTTTGTTGGGTGTTTGTCACTGCTGGACATCGCCTAGTGATGAAGCGATACAGTCCGTTAGTTAAAGGCTCTTGAAATACATATAAACAATGTTGGGTTGGCAAGACAAGACAGGGGTCACAAAATCTTTTCAAGGAAAATAACTATGGGTAAAGAGGATCCAGCTTGGTGCTTGTGGTCTTCACACATTGTCCTATAATTCTTGAATTATTAAACGCTCCGTACTCGGGGTCCACAGTGGTCCACCGTGGTCCACATTCTCCTCGCGCCCGTACGCCCCCTCTCCCATCCATATGGCATCATGGATGGTGGATGGATGCATGCCGACATGTATCATGACGTGTTGGGCACGCTGCCAACATCCCCCCCTCCTTTCCTTGGCATTGTGAAATTCCCCCAAGTGTGAGAGAGCTTACACCAACTTGATTTGTTCCCAAAGATCTATATCCCTTACATTGCAAGAAAAGAAGGAAAGAAGGAATGCAATGCAAGCAAGCAGGGAGCAAAACAATTCTCCAAGCATATACCCCCAGTGGCGACAAGATCCGGGCCGGGGCCCAATCCCCGCCCGCCGCGTGGCCGCCCACTACTGGCCTGGGTGGGAAGGGGGACCCAAAGGCACCTGTGGCTTAACCGACTGGGCAGCAAAATCTCCTCGCGTTAGTGGTCTCTGCTTCTGCAAGCGAGCTATGGAAGTGGTGCTCTTTTCTCTCCTTTTTTTAAAGGCTTGACAATTGGAGCCACAACGAGATTGACCAATGCAGGCGAATCAATGGATGGATGGATCGTGGATCTTGGATGGATTTCGATGGGATTCCTGGATGGATGAATGTGGATGATACCACTATAACAAAACAGCTATCAAACAAGCACATAACGCCAAGCAAATTGGGACGCTTTCAATCCTCTCGTCTCCCCATTATTTAGGAGATCAATACATTCGCAGGGAGGCGAGAGCGTCTCTCTGGGCTGGAATCTTGTGGCAGACTGGAGAGAGAGAGGACACACCACACACATACAAAACTCTGCGATATCTCAGCTTTGCAAATCTAGGATGGAGCAAAAGACAAGGAAAGATCCAAGTTTTAACCGGCACGAAAAATCCTTGCGAAATAAACTATAGCACAGACAACCAATCTATCAATCTTTTTCTCGCTTTTGTTTGTGTCAGGCACGCAAGAGCCCACCCGTCAATTTCATCCCGGGTCTTGCGTCCCGTTTGAGCATCCCGACAGGGAGAATATTCCCCGCGGGAGAAAAGATTCCGGGGATTATTTCCCGGGCTGCTTCTGCGAGCTTCTGAAGAGGACACAAATCTCGTGATCGGCAAAGGACCCGGCAAATTGAGAGGGCCATAAAAACACATCCCCTGAAAAACAGACTGCCCAACCTCCGCCTTGAAACCATGGCGCCTTAGAACTTGTGTGACAACTTATGAGACAACGCATATTCTCCAGATTTACCCTAATTAGGGCGTACGGATGGCGAACCTTTACTAAGGGGCGGCCGCGTAACGGTACGGTGTCGTGGTCCCCGGGAATGGTGACGGCCGCTGACGGGCCGCTGGCGACGTGTCAGCCGCTGGCTGCCGCCCCGCCGACGGGCGGCCGTGAGCGTGGGCCCCGCGATTGTACGGCACCAGGGCGCCATGGCCACAAGTACGCCCTCGCCAATGTGGCCGCCCCATTTCCCCATAAGTCCCCTGCTTCAAGGCTTATGATTTCGCTGCGTGCTCGTGTTCCCTCATGCTCGGTCCTTGTCTCGTCTTTGATGTGCTGCTGCGTCCTTCTCTCTCGGATTGCGAATCGGCTCTCGGTATCGGCGACTCGTCCAGCAGCGGCATTGGATATGTGAGCGCGCGGTTGCGGCGATTTCCCATTCCAGGACTGGTTCTTGGCCAAGAATGGAGCTGGATGTCTTCTTTGTGCTCCGGCGGATCATCTAGGGGGTAATCTCAGGTGTGGCGGCATGGAGGAGCGATCGCGCTGCTGAAATATCACCCGCGATGGCGAAATATTTGGTAGTCTAGCAGCGGCTGCGATGATGTGGGAGGTGGGAGGAGGATGAATCGAGAAGAGGTGGATGTCCTAGGCTAGCGCCTGGGGAATGGCCGTGATGAAAATGAAGGATTCAAACAAGCATATCATGGATGCGGGGAAGTACATTCGCTACACGCCTGAGCAAGTCGAGGCATTGGAGCGGGTCTATAACGAGTGCCCCAAGCCGAGCTCCATTCGGCGGCAGCAGCTCTTGCGTGAGTATCCGGTTCTTGCCAACATCGAGCCCAGGCAGATCAAAGTCTGGTTCCAGAATCGCCGGTGAGTGCTCATCCAAGAAATGTGCATTAGCTAGATGATCATCATGGAGTACATTCCTCTTCTAGGTGGTGTTCTTGCTAGAACTTGCAACTAGTTACTCATTTCTTCCATCTTTCTAGCTAAAGTTGCTATAGTTTACTTTCTAGCTAGCTCTAAAGGTTTCCAAGATCTCATTTTTCCTTTCTTCTCTTTGGGTAGATGCCGCGAGAAGCAGCGCAAGGAGACGTCGCGGCTGCAGAGCGTGAACGCATCGCTGACGGCTATGAACAAGATCATTATGGAGGAGAACGAGCGCCTCACCAAGCACAGCTCGCAATTGGCGTTGGAGAACCAGTACCTGCGCCAGCAGCTGCAGCAGCAGGGAGGCTCCGAGAGAGATCTCAAGCTCTCTCGGAGATATGCTAATGATGCACAGGTGATTAATGTTTTTTCTCCCCAGTCTTTCTCGTTCTTGGTACTGAAAGTCTTGAGTCTTTTCTGTTTTCCAGGCAGCGCTTGCGGCTGATAGGAGCCCCGACTCGGAGGTGACGGGCGGGATGCCTCAGCAGCTGGTCGCTGCTTCTACGACTACAACAACAACAGCGCCCCAGATTGCGCGCGATTCAAGTCCCGCTGGGTCAGTCAGCGATGCTCGCTTTCCTGAAAGTGATATGACACTGATCTTGCTTTTGCTTTGGCAGACTCTTGGCTATTGCGGAGGAAACTCTGACTGAGTTTCTAGCAAAGGCTAGAGGCACGGCCGTGGATTGGATCCAGTTGCCTGGGATGAAGGTAATGCATATTTTTCCATTTTGGATGTATATATGCTGAGATTATTGTGTTTCTTTGGCAGCCTGGTCCTGATTCTGCTGGTACTGCAGCGATTTCACATGGCAGTACTGGTGTAGCTGCTCGAGCCTGGGGTCTAGTTGGTCTAGAACCCGACAAGGTATGCTTATTGGAGTGTATGGTTTTGCGAGTCTTATATGTTTTATGCAACTTTTGGAAGGTCGCGGAAATCCTGAAAGACCGATCCTCCTGGCTCCGAGACTGTCGACGCCTTGAAGTCTTGCGTGCCTTTCCTACCCCAAATGGTGGGACTGTGGAGTTGGTATACACTCAGGTGATTTCAGTCGCAGAATATCTGGTGTTGCTGCTAATGCACGCGAGTCTTTTTCTTCTTTTGCAGATGTACGCCCCCACAACACTTGCCGCTGCCAGAGACTTCTGGACACTGCGTTACACAACCTTTTTGGACGAGGGAGATTTAGTGGTGCGTAAAGAAGCCGAATGGCTGGGAAAAAGATTTGATGTGGGATTTTCTGTGCATGTCAAGGTCTGCGAGAAATCTCTGAGTGGCGTCCATGGCCTCCCCGCCGCGAAAGCAGGGAATGACTTTGTCCGAGCCGAAATGCTTGCTAGCGGCTTTCTTATCCGGCCATTCGAAGGCAACGTGTGCAGCATCTACATTGTCGATCACATGGATCTGGAGGTGCGTTTTTATGCAATGGCTGCTCGCACGCGCTAACGTTTGGCTTGTGAATCCTACAGTCTTGGAAGGTGCACGAAGTTCTCCGGCCGTTGTACGAATCATCATCTGTCTTGGCCCAGAGGATGACTCTGGGGGTATAACTTACTTCTTGGTCTTTGAAACTCACGACTTATTACTTTTATTTCGTTCTACAGGCTTTGAGGTTCTTACGACGTCTTATATACGAATCTCCTTTGAACGAAAACGCTCCTCGAGGAGCCCAGCAGAGTGCTGCATGGAGAGGTGTCAGTCGCCGAATTGCACGGTAATAATGCGGTTCCAAAACCTTTTTGCTGGGCCTCATTTCGGCAAGAATCTAATGACACAGGGGATTTAATGAGGCGGTCAATAGCTTTGCTGACGACGGATGGATGATCACTGACGCAATAGACGGTGATGTCACCGTTGCGATTAATGTGGCTCCAAATGCCAGCAGTATCGGAGGGCAAGTCATGCCACCGGACCGATTGTATGCTGTCGGAGGTGGTGTTCTTTGTGCTAAGGCGTCAATGCTACTTCAGGTGAGCTTACAGATATATGTGCAAAGTAAAGACGTTAACCGCTACTTTGGTTTTTATTGTAGAATGTTCCTCCAGCCACTTTGATCCGTTTCCTACGCGAACACCGCTCCGAATGGGCGGACTGTAACGTTGTCTTGGACACTGCTTCTATGAGGGCTAGTGCTTGCGGTTTCTCCAGGGGAAACGTCATCGGCCAGTGCCCTGTTCCATTAGTTCAGTCCGCCGAGGAAGAAGAGGTTTTGAGCGTTGTCCTTGTTGTGATGCGCGATTGTAATTGGTTTGGCTTGCAGTTTCTCGAGGTCGTTAAGCTGGAAGGTCACGCTTCTGGTCAGAATGGCGTTGTTATTCCCAGGGAAACAGTCTTGCTCCAGGTTAGCTCGATCGCTTTCTTTAAATGTGCTTATTCTTGACATGAATTATGGGCCTTTGACAGCTCTGTAGCGGTCACGATGATAATGCGACGGGAGTTTGTGCTCAGCTCGTCTTTGCTCCGGTTGATGCCGCTGTTTCGGAAGACGTTCCTTTGTTGCCGTCGGGCTTCCGAGTGATACCTTTAGACAGTGGTGTGGTGAGTACAAAGCAAAAACTCGGGACGTATGTATATCTGACAATTTGTATGCTTCGCTTCTGCAGGATAGCAGCGGCTTGTCACGCACACTGGACCTGGCGTCCAGTTTAGAGGGAGGAGCAGATATTGGAAAATTTCCGGACGAGTCTGGCTGCCACCTGCGCTCCGTATTGACGTTAGCGTTCCAGTTTCTCTTTGAAGCGCACAACCGTGACGAGGTGGCGACCAGCGCACGCCAATACGTTCGTCATGTCATGGCTTCCGTGCAAAGCATTGCCATGGCACTGGCATCATTCCGGCTCGGGCCCCGCGTGGGTCCAAGGAACGTCGAGGCATTACTCTTGGCCCATCAGATCTTGCGAAGTTACAGGTAAAGCTTTTTGTATCCTTGGTTGATATCATTAAGCAACCGATCGTGCAGGGCAAACTTCGCCTCGGATCTCACTGAGTCGGATCCAGGAAGCACTGACGCTTTCTGGCATCACAAGGACGCTATCCTGTGCTGTACCTGGAAGGTAAAAACGTTTCTCCCTCTGCAGCAAAGTGGCGATTCTAAAACATCGGTTCTTTGCGCAGGCTATGATCCCGGAGTTCGTGTTTGCAAACCGGGCCGGCCTGGAGATGCTGGAGACGACCTGGTCCGAGCTACACGGGATCCCGTGGGACAAGACGCTGGACGACAATGCCAGGAAGGCCAGCGCCGCGGAATTCTCACAGATCATTCAACAGGTACTCCATAGCGATGTTCGCTACTCCGGCTAAGCTTTCTCTTTGTTACTCGCAGGGGTATGCGTGCCTTCCACCCGGTATCAAGCTCTCGAGCAAGGGAAGGCCCGCGGCTTACGACCGCGCAGTGGCGTGGAAAGTTGTGGACGAGGAAGACAATGCGCAGTGCGTGGCTTACATGTTCATCAACTGGTCCTTCCTCGGCTGACAACGCAGGCACCCCTTTTATCTATTATAACCACGCTTTTAATTTATAATTTGGTGTTGTTGATTAAAAGTGCAAAAAGAAAAAAAAAATGTAATATTAGTTTAGTAAAACTTGCAAGCTCCAAAGTGATTGATGTGCATCATGACCCGCAGCATGAAGATACAAAGGAAGAGTACCTTTCTCGAAACTCTAGAATTATTATTCTTATAGATAAAGAGATGTTAAAGTATCACCATTATTATAGGAATTATATAACAATTTATATTATTATTACTATTTTGACAGGACAAATTGGTACTACTGTTTCATAAACTGATCTGACCTCCGGCGAAAGGTGGCAGACGCAGCACCCTTGCAAATACCCCTGGACAAAACATTGGCGAGGAGCGAGTAGGGGCTGGGGCAGTCCGGGAACGCCTCCAGCGCATCCTCGCACATCCTCTCCGCCACCTCCACCTGGTCGTGCGTCCGGCACGCATTCAACACGCTCGTCCACGCCGCCACCCCGGGCATAAACGGCATCGCCCGCACCAGCTCCTCCGCCGCCTCCACCATCCCCACTCGCCCCAGCAAGCTCACCATGCAGCTGTAGTGCTCGCCCCCGGGCTCCATCCACCGATCGCTCGCCAGGCACCGAAACATCTCCACCCCCTCCCTCAGCATCCCCAGGTGACCGCACAGCGCAAGAACGCCCAGGAGCGTGGATTCGTCCGCCTCGATCCCCTCCACGTCCATCTCCCGGAGGAGCCCCAGCGCGAGATCGCCCCGCGCGTGGAGCGCGTACGCCTGGATCATCGCGCTCCAGGAGACGAGGTTCCGGGAGCCGGGGAAGCCGTCGAACATCTCGCGCGCTCGATCGACGAGGCCGTTGCCCGCGAGCGCGACGAGGATCGAGTTCCAGGAGAGTGTGTTCCACCCTGGGCTGCGATCGAACACGGCCTTGGCGAGGGTGGCGTCGCCGGATTGGCCGTAGGCGGCCACCATCGCGTTCCACGATACGAGGTTCCTCTCCGGAGTGTGGTGGTCGAAGAGCGCGCGCGCCTCTTGGATGGATCCGTTGTGGGCGAGCGCGGCGGTGATCGAGCTCCAGGAGACGACGTCCCGGGCGGGCAATCGATCAAAGACCAGGCGCGCCTGCTCGATCTCGCCGTTTTGGCCCATTGCCACGATCATATGGTTCCAGGTGACGATCTCGCGAAGCGGCGCTGCGAGGAAGAGATCCATCGCTTCGCTGGGATGTTCGTTCTGCCCGAGAGCTTGGATCATTGCGTTCCACGACACCACATTCTTCTCGGGCATCCGATCAAAGAGGCTGCGAGCCTCGTCAAGATCCCCGGCCTGGGCATATGCAGTTACCAGAGACGTCCACGTCATCACGTCATGGGCAGGCATTCTTTTGGCAGTTTCTTTGGCGTCGTTAAGCTTGCAACAGTTCACCATTGCGTTCCACGTTATAGGCGTTCTGCAAAGCATATCCTGGAAAAACTGTTTCAACTCTAAACTGTGTCCCTTTTGGGCATATGCAGCGAGCATTGTTGTGCAGCTAACAACGTTGTGCTTGGGTATTTTAAAGAACAGCTCAAAGGCCTTGAAATACTCCCCAGAGTTCGTAAACGCTTGTAGCATTGCGTTACACGCCACAATGTCTAGAAAACGAATGCCCACAAAACAAAACCAGGTCTGGTCAAGATGCCCTGCTTGTGCATTTGCTACAAGCATTGCAGTCCACGATCCGGTGTTCCACAGCGGCATTTTGTCTAGAATCTGCCGCGCACTACACAAATCACCAGCGTGTGCGTGCGCCTGGACGACCTCGCTCCACGATACCGCATCCTTGGAAGGAATGTCCTGGAAGAGCTTCGTGGCCTCAACGATATCCCCAGTTCTGGCATATCCCTGAAGCATCGTGTTCCACAGCACCACGTCGCGGTTATGGAAGGAAGAAAACATTGCACGCGCTTGATCCAGCTGCCCGTTGTGGATGTAGGCCGAGATGATCATGCTGTGAGAGAAGAGATTGGGATCTCGGATGGATCGGAATGCGAGCTCTGCATCGGCCACGCTTCCGCACTTTCCATACATTTGGACGATGAGATTGGACAGGAATCGGGTTGGGGCTCCTCCTCCTGCTAAAATCTGAGCGTGGATTCGCCTTCCAGTCGCTAGATCCCGGCAAGAACCCAGCAGAGCAGAGAACTGCAGCTCGATTGCACTGTTCTTGGTCTTCCATACCTCTGCCAATATTTTGCTCATCAACCAAGACCATTGAGAGGTAAATTGGAGTTTTCTGCACGATCAGGATACAGCAGAGATTTCTTACATCGCCTAACAACAGACATTCCTGTTAAATGGGTTGTGTATGGCCCGGTCTAGTCTGTACCACCATAACACGATTTGAAACATATGATATGCTTGTTCTTATTCTTCTTTTCTAATGGTCCTCTGGCTCCATGAATTTTTCTTGGATTCAATGTTTGTACATTCAGTTGCATGAAATTCTTAAGTTATCTTTTGTTTAGTTTTCCTTGTCTCTATTTCTGTTTCTTCTATGCAACTATGTTCTGTTAATTTTGTGTATTGGTAAATTTGTTTTGAACAGTATTAAGCATATTTAAGATTTACAAATCTTGTAACTTGGACCAAGCAGGAGTGGTAACTCTAGTCCTTTCTTAGGATTTTATATAATTGCAATTGTTCTTGCATTAAATGTGTTGTCTGGGAATCTCTTGCACACTCAAGATCCCCTTGAAAAAATCTATCTCTCACTGAAAATCCCTCTAGAAAAGGTGTTATATTAAATAATTTCTCCATCCATCAAGTATATCTAAGAATATCTTTAGAATTGTACCCTCACTCCATTGGGTAGATGTCCAGGCTTTGACATAGCAAGAACACGTAAATAGAGGACAAAGGATGGATGATGAGATAAAGATAAAATGGAAAAGGAAAATGAAAAAAGTAATGGGAACAAAGTATGGAACAGAACTTGCAATGTAAAAAAGAAAAGATTAAAAATAAAACAAGTTAAAATATTTTATCTAAGCCTTAGATTACACTGTAAATACTTTGTTCAAGTGAAAGAAGAGAAGAAGATGAGATGTATTGCTTGTGGATGAATGGAAGGTGAGGGGAATTAGCCATACAAGGCTCAATCAGCCACTAGAAGTCTGAACTTGCAATTAAGTCGAAACTGTTATGATGATCTACTTTTGTAATTTGGTAGATGATAATGAATCTTTGGCTAAAACTTTAATTGTGTTTAAGGATTATCTGGGTGAGTAAATTGAATATAGAAAATTGTTGAAAAAATGTTGAGCCCAGCTATGGTGTCATAAAAAAAAAGTGGCATATGCGGGCAACACTATAGAAAATGATTGAAAACAATAATGGTGACTATAAATGATAATGAGGAATATTGAGAGAAAAGTTGTGAGGGTGATGAAGAAGGAAAATTAAAAACTCTAAGCATAATCTATAAAACTCATATCTTACAACTTATTAGGATAAAGTAGTTTAAGCTAGAGAGCCTTGGTCAAAGAACACTCCTCATAACTGCATGAGATAACCATGAAAAAAAGGGTGAGAAAAATGAAAAACATAAAATAAAATAACTAAATGAGAGAATGATAAAAAGAAAAAAAGAAAGGAAAAGAAAGAACTCTAAATGCCAGAATGGCTTCAAGTAATGATGGTTCATTAGAAATATTATATCCTGAAGTCTCTAGGTGCTGAATGTCCTCTTGGAAATCCACAAAGTGGTGGAGAAATCATATCTATTGCCTTTGTCAGTTTGACTAACTACTTCAAATGTGAATAACTGAGCTATAAAGATCATAGTGGATAAAAGAAAGCACTACTCCAAGTTCACCATGTGTATCTAGGTTTAGGGTTTTATGCTGGCTCAGATTTCCTCCATATTAACAATAGCATAATGGCAAATCAAAGGGGCAAATCAAACGCAAGGATGGAAATCTGAATAATTTGCAAGAAATGCAGGGGAGAGCTGCTGCAAATCTGGAGAACTGCACTGGAGTAGAGCAACTTCCTATAGCATTTTTAGTGAGAGATAAAGGAAGTCCAACTAAGAGTTTGAGATATTTACAGGTAAAGATGCATGATGATGGTTGCCATGGTTTACAATCCTTTATATTTCCTAAGATGATATATAACACCATAAACTCTATATTAAATTTTGTGCCATTATCTAAGATTCTAAGACCATTTTCCCACCTTAGTCATCCTCCACAAACCTTTTTCCATCTTCACACATCCTATCCCATTCCCTCCCACATTTATGTCTACCATCGTTTTCAATAATCCTCTTTTTGAGAACTCTTCAATCACTAATCCCTTCTCCATCAGACTTCATTTAATTAAAGTTTTAGGTTCATTTGCATTCTCTACTGAAGCTAAAGATTCCATCATGTGCATGGTTGCCAGATACCAAAGTGGTGGATTGTAATCTCATTATTTTTTGCAATATGCCTTGATATGGTGTTTAAAATGTTGACTAATCTTCTCAAAACCTGGTCAGGATCAAACTAATAGTGAAGATTCCTAAGGTTCTATAAATACCCAATGTCAAGGAGTTAGAGGTGTTTGCTAACCCAATCATGTTTCCACTTCTACAGCAAGTAGAGGAGCTTAATATAATCTGAAAAGGATTCTAAGCCTTTGAAACAGGTTGAAATTCATAGATCCCATGAGCTTGGCTTGTTGGTATTTGATATGGAAGCAAAAAATAATTTCTGAAAATGATAAGTCAATGGATAAATAGAACATATTAGGGTGGATACATCTCCAAAAATCTCTAAGAGTTGCCTTAAATAAAGCATTTACTTTATCATAAATGCTCAATGTGAGTTCACTTTCTTTAGTGGTTTTAGTGACTTTCTACAATGGTTTTGGCACCAGATCTTCACCTTCAGAAGACTTCTTTACACATTCTTAATGGGCAATATCTTTCCCGTTAAGTACTCAAGCTGTTAAAAGTTATTGAATTTGTATGCCATAATTTTACAACCCATCTATATCGTAGTACATGTTCTAGAGAACATGTATTGCTTGCAAGGAAGTAGAGCTTCCTCAGAAAATCCACCTTTCTGCTCTAATGTTGGATCTTAATTCTAGCTTGGAGCATGGATTTGTAGTAGCTCTAGCATTAGATCCCATTGGAAAATGCATTATAATCTCAATAACCTCTATGGAATAATCATCTAAGAATATTCCTAGAATTATACCTAGTAGATAGTATTTTTTCTTTTTTTATTTCTTTTTCCTTGATCAATGCTACACTCATGGCTGCATCATTGAGTTTGCAAGTGATGATGCAAAGCTAATCTTTGTTATCGACAATAGAGAAGAGATGTTTTATTATAGCTCTTCACACAAATAGGCAATTCTAATGTTTAGACAGTTTTATGTCAAGGCTTTTCTTATAAAGGTTTTTGGCTTAAACCTCTATGAGATTGTACTGACTCTTCTCCAATGTCAATATTTAAACACTTTCAAACAAACAAACCAAATTATATATTTCTATTAGAGGTCTCATACTCTTTAAGTAGAGATGGGTAAGCAAGAGTGTTTAAGAATTACTTTTCATTGACTTTTATGCAATAGAAGAAATTTTTTTCCATATAATATATGATTGCATAGTTTGTTTTGTGCTCAACTCCATCAAATACCATGGTTAAAGGGATTTCCTTAACCTTCTAGCAAACTAAAAAATATAAAACTTGAATAGTAAAGCTAAAAGCATCACAAGTGTAAAGATATGAAAAAATTAAGTAGGTAGATAGTAGAACTCTAGAGTTTACAGTTTTAAGTGGTTCAACTAAACACTAAAAGACCCCTAAAATATTTTTAAATCGATAATAAAATTAGAGATCTAATATTTTCTAACAAATCAAAGCTGAAGCCCATTAAATTAGAGCTATATTTAATTACACTTTATTAAAATCTTGGTAAATAAGGCTCAAACATTTCTTTTTTACTATCAATGCAATAATAAAAAAATTTATTAAGAAAAATTTCTTTGAAATATAGGTAGTTGGCTATTTATATTTGTGCTTCAATTGAATGCATTACAAAAATGAAAATATTTTTCATATAAGCCAAATTTAATGATGCTTATAAGTTGTGAACCATACTATAATATAAATAATAACATTTTAAGGAAAAGTAGAATATGTAAATGGGCATTAATGTTAAACATATAATGTATAAAGAACAATAATAATTATAAATAAGTTTATAAATTTTATTATTTCAAGAATTGATATCCTTTATGCCAATTGTCATCTACTTTGAGAACCAAGCCAAGGACAACTTAGCATAGATTTACAAATGCCTTCACAAAACAATCAACCTTATATAACTTAATTCTTTTAGGCCATTTGAATAAGGTGAGAATGTTTAGAAATTCAAAGAGGATTGGTGTCTACCCAAATTACCATTATATTGAGTTTAGAAAGGTTATAAAAGGTTGGATAGATCCATGCCAAATTTAAGGTTTAGAAGAGATTGACTATCACATAATCAAATGATATTTATACATTTAGAGATTAAAAACTCTCAAGAGTAACAATGAGTGATGACTTGATCAAAATATTGTAGACACAAATCCCTCAATTCCAAAATGAAGCTGAAGGTGATCCATGATGTAATGGCCAAGGCAAAAATCCAACAAACTGAAAGAAATGACTTAAGAGACGATTTATAACGTTTAAATATAAAGGGGAAGGGTCCATAAATAAAAGTGTCCTCTTTTTTCCAATTGGTTAAGGGTTTTAGATACTTGGGGTTAAGTGTTCTTGAGTAATGATATCTTAGGAAGTTTAAATTCAAGAGCTTATATAAGTGTAATATGTTTAAACTTGTTTAAGCTTTTGTCTTCTAGACTTTAAGGGGTTTGGTAAGTCTTTACATATCTTACTTATGAGTGATAATATGAACATTAAAGAGTTCAAGGTTATAATGAACATAGATGAACAAGTGAGGTGACTTGGTGAAATGTTCAAGAATCAGCTTTAGTGCATTTGGAAAATCAACTAGTCAATACTCCTTATCCAAATATAGGTAGCACTTTACCTATTTAGATGAAAAAATAAAGTGATTTAGTGAAGTGTTCAAAAGCCAACTTTAGCATCTCAAAAGATCGAATAGTTAATGCTCCCAATCCAAATACCTACTTGAATACCTTATATGGCTCATTAGAACCCTCAAAAACTCAAATAGTTAATACTTCTAATCTA